TTTTCCTCACTAGCCTAGGCCTGGGGAGTTGTATGTAATGTGTGTTTTCTCTCTCATAGTGATTGACGATACAACCAAAGAGGTGGTGTATAGGGATTATATTGACATCAGCGTTGCAGTGGCCACGCCTCGGGTATGTTGGGGCAAGAAGTGGGGAGCTCTGATCTTTGACTCTCTCCTTACCTGTGTGAAGAAGCAGACCCCTGGGAGAGATCTTTCCTGTAGTTCTGTCTTTTTAGAAGGGAGTTACTAGAAGAGTAACCTGTTTTTGACCATACCACATTCTTCTATCTCTGGCAAGCCTAAATATTTTAGACTCTGTTAATCACGAGTCTGGGGGATATTCTGGGAGAGGGGAGACCATAGGCTTGAATCAAGAGAGTTATAACTATAAAGGGTACTATTAATTTGCAACTGAAAAGAACTTTTCACTCTCATCAGGGTCTGGTGGTTCCCGTCATCAGGAATGTGGAAACTATGAATTATGGCGATATTGAGCGCACCATCAGTGAACTGGGAGAGAAGGTAAAATAGAAAGGATGGTATGAGCTGCTGGGCAGGTCAGGGAAGAGAGCCTGGGGAAGGCTGGGCCAGTGAGCGATGCTCAGGGAGCTGGAGCGTCACTTTCTTCTGAAAGGAGTGCGTGGCCCCTGTGAACAGCAGTCACAAGCGAGAGCTGAAGTACAGCTTCCTGGTGGAGCTTATCGTGCTCTTACGACTGAAGAGCTCATCAGAGGAAACCTCAGAAAAGAAAAGATTCTGAAGTCCTTTCCCCTGGTGGAGCACTAGTCACAGGCATCTCAGCTGAATGCTTTCACGTTAAAGCTAGACCTTGGATCGTTGATCTTAGATATGAGCCTTCTGGACTTCCTTTAGGTGAAGAAAGCTGGGTTGACCTTACCTTTCAATTATAAAATCTGTTTTTAGGCCCGGAAGAATGAACTTGCCATTGAAGATATGGATGGTGGTACTTTCACCATCAGCAACGGAGGCGTTTTGGCTCGCTCTTTGGAACGCCCATCATCAACCCCCCTCAGTCTGCCATCCTGGGCATGCATGCCATCTTTGATAGGCCAGTGGTCGTGGGAGGCAAGGTAGGGAACATCACCATTAATGTCCTAGCAGCTAGGCGATAAGGAGAGGTAAGTCTAACTAGATGCTCATTATAAAAGATTCGCTATAATTTCAGGCATAAGTTGCAGCTCCTAGTTTCTAATTACTAGCTGAGGCACTGGTTCTTAAATTGTGTGTGGAGTAGCAGCACCTGGGAACTTGTTGGAAATGCAAATTCTTGGACCCCTTCCGAGACCTAGCGAAGCAGAAAGTACAGATGATTCTGATGCACGTTCAAGTTTGAGAACCTTTGAGCTGAGAAGGCTTGCTCCTTCATCTGGGACTAGTCAACAGGTTTCATTCTCTAGGTGCCGTAGAGAGTGTGGGGATACAGTTGAAGACATGGTCCTTGCTCCTGGGGAACAGAGGACAGCAGGGCAGAGCCATCTACAAGCTGCCAAGTTGTAATGATGAGGCTTAGAGGTTTTCTGGGAGTTCACGGAATGAGGGCAAAGGGTCTGGAGCTGGCCCTAGAAGATATGTTGGTAGGAAAATGTTTTCTGGGACTCCTGCGTTTAGAACCTTTTTGGGTCACTAACTCCTTTTTCAATCTAAAAATCATAGATCTTCCCTGAAAATGCTCATACACCCAACTTTGCATAGAGTTTCAGAGAATTTGTGGACCCCAGGATAAAAAAAAAATTTTTTTGTTGTTACTATAACCCCAAAGAAGCAACTGCAGGCAGCGAGAACTGAAGAGGAACTTCCCTGTAGGCAGCAGACAAGTGAGAGGGCAGAGCATGGTGTTTTGTTTTCTTTTGTTTTGTGTTTTTAAAGGCAGTTGTAAGGAGACTCCTGTTTTCTTGATTTAAGTTTTGAGTGTGGGAGCTTTGCACTCAGGGTAGGGCTTGGTCTTTGAATATACTGTACATATCCAGAAGCAGCAAAGCAAAGCAGGAAAGGCTCTGCAACTGGGAACTTAACTATGGGCTGTGCTGTGTCATCTTCCCTTTGATCTGGGCTTTCTCTGCCCCGCTGCAGACAACGGGGCAGACAAACCTGTCGACCTCTCTTCTCTGTAGGTGGAGGTGCGGCCCATGATGTACGTGGCCCTGACATATGATCACCGGCTGATCGATGGCAGAGAGGCCGTGACTTTCCTCCGGAAAATCAAGGCAGCGGTAGAGGATCCTAGAGTCCTCCTATTGGACCTGTAGGAGGAAGCCATGCGCCCTACACATCAACCATGCAGGAACTGAAAACCAGTCTTCTCCCTGTCCCCTCATGGGCCCCGGGTTAGCCTGGTGACAGACAGGCATATGCTGTTGTTCTCAAGCAAGGAAACCAGGGCACTATGTAACCAGCAGTCACAGGTCTCTTGGTGTTCCTGCCAGGCTCTCTCCCTCTCTGCGCTGTTCTCTTACACTCGAATATCTGATTTCCTTAGGCTTGAGGGAGAGAGAGAGCCTTAATGGATGCTCATTAATATTCCTGCCTTTCTCCATTAGCCCTCCGCTGAGATGATTTTGCTTCTCCCCCATCCAGTATACCATAGGGAAACTGCCGGGGACCATGTGATTAAGTTTCTATCTCTTGAAAGTCTGTTCTCCAGAGATGCCTAGGAGGGTGCTGTGCCTCCCAAGCTCGGAGCAACCTCTGTCCTGGCTGTGCACGTCCTTACTCGGTTCCACCCGTGTGGAGGTATTGACCACAGGCCAGGAGGTGCTGCTTTGCTTCTTAAATGGCATCTTCATTCTCAGCTGTCACTGACTTCAAGCTGCCTCTTCTACCTCTTCCAGGAGCACAGGCTGGGGGATCTGGAGGGGCAGGGGATGGGTAGGCAGTGTTGAGGGGGAGGACAGCTTCTGAGGTCAGAGGTTGTAAATGAGACTGGAGCAGAGCCCCGGCCTGCCCTCACCCTCTCCGTCATAGCTTTGTACCAGGAAGACCCGTTTTGGCACAAGCACGCCCAGCTGTGGTTGTGCTGACCTTTCCAGACCACTGGGACCATTCTACCACATTGTTCTCATCTAGAGCAGATTCTAGCACATCTTGGCAGGGAGACAGCATGTCACAACCAAGGGCTGGATGGCGCCTGGTAGAGATTGGAGTGAAGGAGGCATACTGTGGACTGGCTCACATTGTCTTGAGCTTTTAAATTCCATTGGTTTAAGCCTGTGGGCTGAAGAGGCAGTTCTGTTCCTTCCTGTATCATGGCCCTTAGGGAGCGGAGCCTTGGCTCTTCCTCCACAGAACACAGGTCTGGGAGAGGATGGATTGTGGTGGAAACCAGCCCAAGATGCCAGTACACAGTGGGGAAACGGCCGATGTCACCTACGAGGTACTGCCTTGGGTCTGGACACAATCATTGGAATTCTTTGGAGGATGGTTAAATCCACACGTCTTGTCATGAGAGCTACTGGGCTTCATCGCTTCATATCCAACTGCGTCCAGGCCTGAGGCTGCTGACACTTGACACAGGGAGCCATTTATTTAGTGCAGGGTGCCCATTTGTATTTTGAGCGAAGAAGCAAGGCCTGGGGGTTGGGGTAGGGGGAAGGGGTGGGAGCCAGTACTGAGTGCCTGCAGCATCTCCTATGTCTTCACTATTCAGAACTTGTAACTAAAATATTTAAAGAAACTGATTTTAAATGCAAATTAAAGGGCAAATGTTCGCAAACAGGGTTCCTGCTTCTGTACTTCTTTTGGTTACTGAGGTTGTGCAAGTCTCCAGCACTGTAACTGTCATTAGCACTGAAAGCCACGTAATGTCCCTCTCATCCAGAAAAGTGCCCTGGCTTCCTTCCAGGGCACTTCCTTCCTCGAACCTGGTGAGCCCGGCAAGCCACACTGTTGAAGAGAAACTGGTTCTCACCTGCGTGAAGCCCCTTGAAACACCAACAGACATTTAGATTTTGGTGGCGGTGCCTTGCGTTATTTCTGGGATGGATGGGGGAGTGGTGGAGCAACATAGCTTCGCATTTTGCACTTGATTGCCACGTGGGTACCCAGATGCTCAAGGTTGATTTGAACAAATGAGGGTAGATCTCCTAGGAGCAAGTGGTATGTGACGGCGAGTGGATGGGGTTGAGAGAGAATCTGCGCTGACTACGTGTGATAGGCTTGATGGTGTCCAGGCTTAAACTCAGCCTGGCTTTTCCACACGCAGTCCCTGCCTGCTGATCTCGCTTGCGGTGATACCATCTTCATGTGAAGGTCTGTCACGGGAACAGAGTGGCTCCTAGAGGGTAGAACTAGAGCTAGTAGAAAAAGCTTGGGTTCAGTGAAAGGAAGAATTTTAGGTCAGGTTTGGGGCATGGAGCTAGAAGCTTTAATTTCTTTAGTAAACCTACAAAGGAGGTACATTTAGCCCCATTTTTATCAAATGGAAATAGACTGTACGCCCCTTAAGGGCTGGGACCACAGTATTCTAAACTCAGGGCCTAGCAAAGTGCCGGATGTGCAGTGTTCATTGCATGAATGAGGCCCAGAAGTTCCAGAAGCAACTTGCACTTTGTACAGTAGTTGGAGGTGCTCTGACCTGACTGAGGGAGTGTAGCGGAAGGAACACAGACTTGGGAGCGGGCTTCACCAGGCTCTGGCCAGGTCCTGTCATTTCCCTCTTTGAATTCCAGTTTTCTCAGGAGCCACCATCTGTTGAAGAGGTCACCGTGAGGGTTAGGTCCACTCCCCTGCACCACCCCCAGGCACCATGACCCTCTTCGAAGATGTCTTTTCCTGTTTTACTTCCCACGGAGCCCAGTGCTGCCACTTTCTGGGGGGCTCACAACTGCTCTGCTGGGTACAGGCCGGCGTGCTGTTCACTACCAGCCCTGCTTCCTCCTTCCTAGCAGGATCCAAGCACACTCTTGGTTATCATGGAGCTTGCTCTGGAGGAACCCTCCCATCTCCCCATCTCCTCTCATTGCGTTAATGAGGCAAGGACACCAGAGGCAACAGCAGGCTTTATTGGAGTCGGGGTGGAGGGACGTGGGCAAGCCCCAGGGAGAGCCAGGACCTTCCAAAGGCTGCACCTCCCACGTCCCCCAGACGCGTCCAGAGGGCCTGAGGAGCTTCGCGCCATGCCCACAACAGGTCCCCAGCCCCAGATTTAGAGCTGGGCCTTCACAGCCAGACTGGAGGGTGGTGTCAGAGGCGCCACCTGGTGGTGCCGGAGACGCAGGCGGGAAGGAGTTGGTGGAGATCTGTGGAAGATTGTCTTAGATGCCACACCCCAGTGACAGGGTGAGTCCTGAGAGGAAGGCGGCCCCCAAATCCGGGGAGGGAATTGTCTTTGGGGATAACTACTTACCCCAGTTCTTCCGAGACCAGAAACATTTTGCTTCCGGCTAAATGCTTGGGCAATCATTCCATGTGTTTTGTGGTTTCATTTCAAAAGGATATGAAGTCACAGTGGGCAGTGGATTGAGTGGACCCTCAAGACTAAAATGCAAAATGGTAAACAGGACGAACGTCCGAGAAGGGAGTCCTAGTGGGTACAACTTTTCTTCAAGTGGCTTCAGCCTGGAGACTGAATGGCGGTCTCCCCTCAGACCCATGGGGCAGGTTTTCCTTTCTCTCCATATGGGTGGGCTAGCCGGGGAAGGGAGCTCTTTGTTTCCAAAATTTCTCTAAGTGGCAGAGCTGTGCCTTCCTCTCTCCCCCCATTCCTCTTTATCCTTATTTTCCTCCCCTCCTTTCCTTTTGCTCTCCAAAGTCTGTAATCACAAGATAAGGGGCATGGTCAGGAGGGGGGGATGGGTTGTCCTGTCCCATTCCCTCACCCCACCCCATGCCCACTACAGACTTCTTCCCTGCTTCCTCAGCCTCCCGACCCCCTGCAAAAGTAGCCTCTGGTGGAAGAGGCCCACTAGTTGCATGGTTAAGATGACCAGCCAGGGCAGCCCTGGTTTGGGACCACTAAGCCAGTGGACTAGTATCCTGAGATGAGTCTCCAGAGACATCCCGAGTGGGGCACATGGCAGATAATGAGTCACAAAATTTCACGGCTCAGCACGTGGTCAGTAGCTCAGAGCTAATGCAAAGGAAGGCACCTTTTAACATGGTAGGTCCAAGTTCAAGTACAGGGTGTGCATTCAGCAGGGGACTGTTGACTGATGGGTGGAGGGGTTCAAGCTGCCTAACAGGCTGAGGTCTCTCTTTCCCTCCCGCTCAGCACCGTCTAGGAAGGGTTTCTCCAGGACGTGGCTGGGGGACTCCGTAGGCCCTTCCTGGTCAGTGAAGAGACTTCTGAGGCCCAAGGGAGGGGCCCGACCAGGAAAGGCAAGCTGCCTTTCATTCTTTGCCCGAGGGCCGCCGATTAGAAGGGCCAGCTCTGGGTGGCAGGCAAAGAGAAGAGAGGAGATCCAGACCAGTCCAGCTGCTTCCACCGCCTACTCCACCCCCTCCGGTTACCCCACCAGTTTGCTCCACTGGATGCTGCTGAAAAAGGGGTGGGACTTGAGTTTGTTGACACCGCCTCCTCCAGCGCCCAGGCGCCCGGCGGGCTCAAACTGCAGCAGCTGTGGAGAAAGGCCCAGTCAGCACTGGGCAGGCCTTCCCAACCCCGTTGCTCCCTGCCAGCCCGGCCCACAGAACCCCCAGTGTTACCCTGGGGGACACTGGTGTTTGGCCACTAACATAATAGAAATTTGTTGTCCCCATTAACCTCCTGCACCCACATCAGACACCTAATACGCTGGGCGGCTTGTTCACACACAGGGCTCTGTCCTCCCTTCTGTCCACCCTCAGTACAAAGAAGCTGCCTGCTCCGGGCCGGCCACACCTCACCTCAGTCAGCAGGGAGGCTGCGGGGCGACTGAGCCACTCGGGCAGCTGGAGCTGGGTGTGGGGTTGGATTCCTGAGGGGTGGCTCTGGGACAGCGCCTGGGAAGACACGGGGGCGACCCCAGGAGAGTCTGTACACTCCAATGGCGGCCAGGTTTTATCTTTTTCCCCCTGTGTCACATCTCATGGGGATGCTGCTGCTGCTGCTTGTTGCCTCTTGCTTTGGATCTACTGCATGTCAGGCTGCGGAAGATGCCTGAGACCCATTATCCGTAATTTCCACAACAACCTTCAGAGTAAGTATTATTACCCCCATTTTAAAGACAAGAAGCAGCCTCAGAGAGGTCAAGGGATTTGTGCTGAGTTCAGGGTTTGAACCCAGGTCCCTCTGGCTCCAAGCTTGCTAGAAACATCGGTCTTGGGTTGCAGTCAGGGCAGGCACTCTATCAGGAATAGCACTGAAACTTGTCTCCTTACAGAAAAAAAATTTCTATGGGCGACTCATTTGACATGGCGTCCTACTGTCAGGGCCAAGGCAGGGCTGTGGCGAGGGAAGAAGGTAGGACCTCTCTGTGCTCCAGAAGGGTGCAGCTGCGGGGAGCAGAGAGGTCTGTCTGGAGGTCAGGAAGAGAGGCAAGAAGCGACCAGGAGGAAGGCCAGAGGACCTGATCTGGAGACGTGGTGGGAGGCCAAGAGGAGAGAGCCACTGTGTGGGGCTGTGTGCAGCCAGGGCTCTCAAAGGCCCTGGCTACAGGACCAAACCAGGAGGGAGCCAGGAGGGACCAGTCAGATCTGGACTTCCGGTCACACTGCATCCACTTGGGGCATTCCCTGCTCAAATGCAGTTTGGCCTCTCCCTGCTGCCCGACCTAACCAGCCCCAGGTGTGGTGTTGAACTCACGAGCGAGGATGGAGGGCGGAGGCCATCATCCTGAGCAAGGGTACTTGCCAGGGGACTTTAAGCTCTGGGTTGACCCAGGCCGGACAGGGCAGCTGCCAGCCTGGGATGAAGGAGGCCCTCTCTCTGGTCGTCCAGCCAAAGTCTGGGGGTTATAGCTCTGAAGGGTGTGGATGCGGGGAGTGAGCAGCGGGGAGAGGAGGCTTGGGGGATGATCCGGTGGCCTTCTAAGTAAAAGGGCTGTGTCAAACTCCACCCTCCCTCCAGATCCAGGCCCGGACGCTCTCTTCCAGAAACCTTCGCTGATCATCCCGACTCAACTCTCACTGAGTTGACAGTCTCCCTAGCTGTAGCCACTCATCTGGCAGTGGTGCGAAGTGTAGCCATGGCCTGGGTGGGAGTGGCTTCCATGGTCTCTCATGGCCTTGGCGGTGGAGGCGGGAGCTGTGCTGGCAGAACACTGGGCCCGACGGCCAGGTCTCCGGGACCCAGGCAGGCTCTGCCCCAACACCGACTGGCTGGACTAACCCCAGCCCCTCCTACATTCAGTGACACCCACGAGGCCCTACACCCTGCCCACACACCGCTCACCGTTCCCGTCAGCAGTTCATACAGCAGAGACCCAAAGCTCCACCAGTCGCAGGCTTCGGTCAGCTCAGAAATCCCACCCACCTCTGTGGGAACAAGAACATACGTGTCTCAGTCTCGCCCGCCCAAGGAGGCGTGTCTCCCCTCCACTCACCCTACCCAGGTGCCCCAGTTCCCTCCATCATCCTCAGTCCCCTGGCTCAACCCACATAAAGACACCCAAGGGCTACCCCCTACCCCTTCCCTTCTTGCCTGGGGCGCTGTAGAGTTTGTCCAAAGCCTCTCTGCAGCACTGGGGCTCCACCTCTGACCACTGGCCGAAATACGTGAGCCGGATGTGGCCTTGTCATGCAGTGCATGCAGGGAGGAATAAAAGGGGACAAAAATTGCTATTAGTCATCTTGGAGCTGCAGGCGTGACGCAGGGGACTCCAGCGCTTCTCCCAACAGCCACAAGGCAGGGGCCAGCGGCTGCACTGGGCAGAAGCTCCCTAAGGGCCCCCCCCCCCCCCACAACGCCGAGGCCCCGAAACAACCTGGTCTTCACAGGAGCCTTGCCCTGAGCTCATCGAGGGAAAGGGTTTGTTTCCCAAGCTCAACCCTGACCAACCAGGCTCAGCAGAGTCCTTCCTGAAAAGGCCGGGGAGGGGAGGCAAGGGAAGAAGCAGATAACCTCTGCATCCGCTTGACTTTGGGGAAATTTCCTTCTCTGTCTTGAGGCTTCGGGGGCCTCCCGCCGGAGGGGTGGGGTAGGGTGAGGGCCCACTCTTCTCCCCCTGGGCCCAGGGCTCCTACCTGCCTGGTCCAGGAGCAGGTTCCGGGGATTGAGGTCCCGGCACAGCACCCCCTGCTCGTGCAGCGCCTCCAGGGCCACCAGCATCTCGGCTGCCCACTGCCTCACCTGCTCCTCCCTCACACTCCAGGCGGCTCCACCGGTTGAGGGGCGGCTCCGACCTCTGCCTCGGCCACAGCCCCCCAGCACCCGGCCGGCCCCTGCACGAACCCAAGGGAGCCCGCAAGGGGGCCCCGGATCAGAGCTCTGGCCGGGCCCCCGCCTGGCTTGGTGGTGCAGGTGGCCACCTGGGGCCTTTGGAAGGTCCCAGGAGCAGGAAGGGCCGGTCCCGGCTGAGGGTTCACCTTCAGCCTCTCTCTGGGGTCTGATGGCTGCAGCCCCCCTGGCCGGGGTAAGGCTCTGAGAAGTCCGGGGAGGCTCCAGGGGGATTCCGTCCTGCAGGCAGGTGTGGCCAGGTGGGAAGCGAGCTGGGGTCTGGAGGCTGAGTCGGGAGTTGAGCTGAGCCTTCATCCTCTCCAGGCTGGAGCCAGACCTAGTCCCAGACTGTTGGAGGCACGGCTGGGAGAGCAGGTGGGACCACAGAGTGCCTCCTGGGCCGTGCAGAGGGTGCAGCAAGCATGGGGACAGGAGTAAAGGAGCGTGGGGCCCAGGTCCCTCTCCCACTCCCGCCACCCCCTGCCCCCCGTCTTGGGCACGGACCCTTTGCCTTCCAGGTCCTCACCTCTGCTCCCTCCCCTCCCTCAGCCTAGGATGCCCTCTCCCCTCCTCTCCACCCACCTAAAGTGGCCCCAGCCTCACAAGCTGGCACAAAATAGGTGCTTAACCCCTAAGGAGATGTAAATTATTCTTAATGTCCTTGGTCTACGTGGTGGGTTCGCCAGTGTTCAATGTATTATAATTTTTTTTAAGGGAGAAAAGTGTAATGAAGCTTAAGTAAGTAAAATAAAAACAAGGCCAGGCACGGACCTGCGACGACTGAATGTCATGACCCAGAGATGTGTACCTCATTTAAAAAAAAGTCATAGCTGATCAATAAATATGTGCTACGTGACCCAGTTCCTGTCCTTACAGCTTCAGCACCATCACCCCACGGGGCCACTCTGAGGGGTGGGCACAGACTAGGAAAGTGAAAAGAGCCAAGACTGGAGGAGAGGGTGACAAAGGGGACATCTGCATAAATGCCCTCTCACCCACCCAAGATGTGAACATCCTCCCAGGACGTCCCCTGCCCCCCTGGCACCACACAGAAGCCCCCAGCAGCCATCATCCTCCAGGAAGGCTGGGTCCCCTGGTCTGTGCTGGGCATCTGGGCTCGGCAGTTTAAGAGGATGAGACAGGACGACATCCCAAAGGCCTAAGGAGCTGACAGGGCCCCCTCACCTTGCACATGCTCCAGGTGCAGGAAGATGGAGTCCTCGCTCACAAAATACCGCAGCAGCTTGGTCATGTAGGGGACGCCGTGTGGGATGATGGTCAGCCGCTCCCGGCTCACCGCGTGGCACCTGGACAGGCTCTGGGGAGGGAGCAGAGCAGGCAGATCAGCTGGGGACTGGCCAGAGGCTGCTCTGCTCTTCAGGGGCAACCAGACGAAGGGTGGGAGCCACCCTGGAGAGCAGCTGCCTGCCCCCAGTTCCTAACCTGACCCTCAACCCTCTTTCCACCCTGGAAGGCAGGCCCTCCCATCTCTGGTCCAAGGATGAGGCAATGTGTGTGTGCGTGTGCGCACGTGCACATTTCTGGGAGGCAGGGTGCATGCTGGGGGCAGAACAAACAGCTGTTGGATTTGGAGGGAGTGTGGGTTTCCCATACGGCTTCTGGGTAGAGGTTCCCCAGGGGGTAGGGGTTTCCAAGAGCTCTGAGAAAGTCCAAAGGGGAATGCAGAACGGCAGGGGGTTGGGCGGCACCTGCCTTCACCACGAAGGTCCCTCCAGTCGCTGGGTCCTGGACCAGCTGCACCTGCCGAGGTCCAGGAGGCACTAGTCAAGTCACATGCTAGTTCCCGGGACTCCATGGCCCCAGCCCCAGCCTCCCAGGGTCCTCCACCAAGGCTGGGCTGGGAGGCCAGGCTTTGGTAGTGCAGAGTGTACCCCCCACCGCCAAACTGACATCAAACCTGTCCTGCTCATCCACCCTTGTTAGATCTGCAGGTCTTAGCTCAGGTACCACCTCCTCCAGGAAGCCTTCCCAACCCTCACGTTAGGCTGGGGCTCCTAATCTGTCTCCAGTGCTCTCTGGGCTCACCCTATCACACTGTGTCTAATTTCCTGTCTCCCCGCTGGGCTGTGAGCTCCGAGAGGGCAGGGACCACATGTCCAGCTCTGTACTCCCAGAGGCCTGCATAGGACAGGGAGGTAGTCGGTGCTTCCCACATGCATGCTGAGTGGTCCATCCTGTACGGTCCGAGGGTGTCATGGCTGGAAGTGACCTCAGAGCCAGTCACCTTCTCTGATCTCTTATTTTACAGGTGAAGAAGCCAAGGCTCTGAGAATGTGGCCCCAGTGGTGCCCGAGACCTTGTGGTCTTGCCATGCTCCTTCAGGTCTCATCCCCTGCCCCCAGCCCCTTCTCTTAAATGGTCTTTCTTTCTGGAGGCTATCTCTGGAGGGCAGTCCACTCCTTCTCCTGTTGGTTTTGCTTGGAGGCAGTGGTCTGCCAATTGCTGGGCAGAGCCTTGTTTGGAGTTGGGCCCTAGACTCATCTCCATGGTGGGCAGGGGTGGACCCCAGCCATAGGAGAGGACACGTCAGGGGAGGAAAGCGGAAGATTCGGCCCAGATGAGGGGCATGTGGGGGGCAAGGCCAGCACCCTGGTGTTGTGACTTCTTAGCCGTCAGCCTGCCCTGCACACGTTCCCCGTAGTGGCACATGGGAACCAGGCCCTGAGGCCAGGCCACTGGGCAGTGACAAAGGCTGCAGCCTACGATTGGGGTTCAGATCTTGGGTGAGTGAATTGATTTTCTCATCTACCAAACAGGAATTACAAATGCCCACCCTCCCTTATCACTGGTTTGTTGAGGCCACCAATGGGAAGGCCCTTGGAGAATGTAAAGGCGGTGGGAATGTCAGTTACATTTGCCAAGTCACATGGCCTCTGTGAACCTTGGCCTTCTTCACTGCAAAATGGGTCATAGCAGTACCTCCTTCAGAAGGCCATTAGGAGGATTCTATTAAAGCGAGCAACTCAAGTACAGCAGCAGCCTGTGCCTGCCACATAACATGCTCTCAATAGTCTATAGTGACGATTATTAATATCATCACAGGGAAACCCCACACTGGCTATACAGCATTTACTCTGCGCTAAGGGCTTTATCTAGGTCATTTAGTTTCATTCTCCAGCCCTACCAGGTGAGCATTACTAGTGACTCATTTTACTGATGAAGAAACTGAGGTTCAGAGAGGTTACGTTGCCTACGGTCCCCCTGCTAAAAAGTAGTAGAGCCAAGATGTGAATCCAGGCAGGCTGATCCCGGAGCCCTGGAGACATAACTTCAAATAGGGGCACAACCAGGTGACCTGGTGCATGCCTTCCCCTCTGGGCCTCAGTTTCCCCATCGTCAGTGAGATGAAGGTGGTGGACTCTGAGCACAGGGGCAGCAGGCGTGAGGCATCCCTTCTGACCACTAGAGGTCTCTCCTCCAACAGCCAGAGATGGAGTCCAGCCTAGTCCCGGCTCTTTGGCCAAATTTATGCAAAGCTTGAAAAAGAAAGAAAGAGAACTCTGGGGTCATTTAGGATAATACAGTTTCCCACAAGTGCTGACACCCCGGATAATTCCCTACTGCCACTTGCCAAGTGGGATTCCCCTCCACCTTGTCTTGTCTTGGGCAAGTCTTCTCGTTTACAAAAAAACAGCAGTGAAGGTCGTGGAGGCCAGAAATAAAACTTGATCAGTACATTGAAACAAGTGTGTTAAAAAAGAGAAGAAAAAATATATATATACACACACATCTATCAAGAAAGAATTAGACCAAACCATTAACAGTGATTATCTTGGAATTAGATAGGATGGTGGGGAATTTTTTTTTCTTTTCTGTTCTAAACTCCTTTCTCTTTCATGGTATTTCAAAAGGGGGCATTTTCCCATTAAACCAAGCAAATAAAAAAATCCCCTTTCTCTTTTGCTCTGTGCTATAGAGCACTAGTTTGTCCCTTGACCTCATGAACCTCAGTTACATTCTCTGTAAGACAATGATTAAAATGCAGCACTGTCCAGGGACTTCCCTGGTGGTCCAGTGAGTAAGAAAGACTCGGCACTCCCAATGCAGGGGGCCTGGGTTCGATCCCTGGTTGGGGAACTAGATCCCACATGCATGCCACAACTAAGAGTCTGCATGCCACAACTAAAAGGTCGCACATGCCACAACTAAGAAGTCCACATGCCGCAACTAAGACCTGGCACAGCCAAAATAAATAAATACATAAATACCTTTAAAAAAATGCAGCACTGTCCAGTAGGACTTTCTGCCATGATGGAAATATTATATATCTGCACTGCCCATTAGAAGCCATTAGCCACATGTGGCTATCAAGCCCTTGAAAGGTGGCTGGTGCCACTGAGAAATAGAATATTTAATTTTAATTAATTTTAATGAATTAAAATAGTCTTATGTGGCTGGTGACTACTGTATCGGACTGCACAGGTTTATAACCCTTTTCCTCCCCAGGGTGACCGAGCGGGTTTAATGCAACAGCTTGGCAAACTAGAATGGGCCTTACGAATGTCAGGTGAGTATTGCTATCGGGAAGGTGGAAGGCAGTTCTGGTGAAGGGTGCCTGCCTTCATCTTTTTAAAAAGGGAAATGTCGGGCTTCCCTGGTGGCGCAGTGGTTAAGAATCCGCTTGCCAATGCAACGGACAAGGGTTTGAGCCCTGGTCCGGGAAGATCCCACATGCCGCGGAGCAACTAAGCCTGTGAGCCACGCTACTGAGCCTGCGCTCTAGAGCCTTTGAGCCACAGCTACTGAGCCCACGTGCCACAACTACTGAAGCCTGAGAGCCTAGAGCCCGTGCTCCACAACAAGAGAAGCCACCACAATGAGAAGCCCGTGCACAGCAACAAAGACCAAATGCAGCCATAAATAAATAATAAAAAATAAAAAGGGAAATCTCTTTTTTAAAAATGAAACCCACTGAGTTCTCGGGATTCAGGGACAATGAAAGCTTTGGTGAAACACATTAACCCTTTCTTTTAAAATGTCCACAGTATCAAGGTCAGGAGGACTCCTCCTGGAGCAAACAAATCCAGAAGTTTCAAGCAGGTTCTCAAGCACTAAGGTCCACAGGGGCTGGGCATGTGAGCCAATGGGCAGGATGAGAAAGGGGCCGACGGAGGGCAGGTGCCCCATTAAATCGGGCAGCCCGTCCTCTGCTCCGGCTGACATGAATGTGAGGCAGCATTTCCAGAGCTTCTGATTTCTCAGGATAAGTAGGAAATCTGGACTTCTCTATGAAACCTGCCAATTTTTAAATGCTGATAACTAACAATAATTCAAAAAACACCCCTGTGTTTGAGCCAAAAACACGGAAGTGACTTGGCTGGTCTTCTCTTTCTTCCCCTCCCTGACTCAGGGCCTGGCTCCGGGACAAAGCTCGGCAAATAGGCAGCATTGTCTCCCAAGCCCCCCAGGCTCCCCAAGAGCAGACCCTGGCTCTCCTGGCCTGCTGCCTGCCTAGTCCTTGATCCACCCTCCTTGCTCTTCCCTGCCACCCCCTACCCCTGCCAGTATCTCTTCGGTCCTGAGGGACCCCCCCGCTCCCCAGCCCCTTTAACCCTCACAATGGGGTGTTTCTGGGGGCACTCAAGGCTTCCTGAGCGGGGCCCTCTGCTCCCCCTGAGTCTGCGAGCTGCTGCAGGCTGGTACTGCCCTCCCACCTGCCTGCCCAGATCTGCCTGGGCAGAGCTGTGGTATGGAATGTGGTGATACTCATCCAGGCCTGGCTGCAGGGACCTGGGCCCAGTGGCCCCAACACCTCTCCTAATTTGAGGAGATTGGTGTTCCTGGCTTGGGAATGACTCAGAAAAAGGAAGCAGGATTTTAGGAGGGAGGTGGAGTAAGTAAATTGAGTGCCCAAGAAAGTATATAAAAAGAAAGAAAAGAGGGCACTCTCAAGACAGAATGGCTGGGCTTGGCCTGAATTTCTAATTCCCATATGCACAGGCCTCAGTATATGGGATTCCAAAAATGCTTTGCCCATGTGTGTCTGGGGTTAAATTCAAATTCGGGGAATTCTGTCACAGACCTCCCTCTTGGAGGTTCACTGTGTACATCTACATCCTAAAAGCCTGAAACTTCCTATACTTAAAAACTGAAGTAATGTAACTTTAGCTCACTGTTTCCAAAACTTATTTGACCCAGAACCCCTCTCTCCAAAACACCACTGGTTCGGTGGGATCCCACACGGGGAAACACTGGTGGCTGTCACCTCCTCCGCCTGCCCGGGGAAGCGGCCAAGCCACGTGGACTCGCGCAATGGGAGGGAAGGGCTGGGCAGGTGGAAGCTGCTGGGCCTTGGCTGACAGACTGGGGCCTGTTCCAGGGACCTGGGAGCAGCAGCTGGAGCAAGGCTGGGATGGGAAGCCTGCTCGCCACACACTCTCGTCATTCGCCTTCACGGCCACCAAACTTGTATCAAATGCTTTAGCGTGTGCTAGGCCTTTCCCCCGAATCATTTCACTTTAGTTCCCACATCACGCTGGGTGGGGCAGAGGTGGGTGGGAGGATCCTTACCTCCACTTCCAGATGAGGAAACCAGCGCCCAGACAGGGAAAGGAGCTCGTCTGTGGCCACGTGGTGCCAGCCCGGCCAGCACTTCACCCTCGGCATGTCGGGGAGCACACACCGGTCCCCTTTTCTCTGCGGGCTCCCAGACCCGTCCAAATTCCCCATGAGTGTTTTAAATTACAGGAGCCTGGGCTCAACCCTAGAAATTCTGACTCAGTGGGTTTGGGATGGGGCCCGGGCATCTGTATTTTTAGGAAGCTCCCCGAGGGGATTCTGATAAACAACCAGTTTGAGGAAAAAAACGCTTTAGCAAATATTCAGGTATCCCTGGGCTGGGGCGAAGAGCGATCAAATATTGGCTCAAATCTCATTTGACCCAACTTGTCTGTCCTTCTGATGAGTGTCCCAGGTTCAGGTTTGGCTGTCAGCTCCTATCTTCCTGTCTGCCCTGAATTAAGGGAAAAGATCCTAGATGGGGTCAGGATGGGGGGTGGCCGGAGGAGCCAGGAGAGAAAGGGCAGAGCTGCCAAGGCCCTGGACAAGGCACCAGCCCACTTCGACCATCCGCAGAACGGGTTTCTGGAGATAAGCGCACTCCCGCCACAGGAACCTCTGGGCTGTGCTAGGTGGGGAGACTCCTGGCTGCAGCCCTGGCGAAGTGGAATTGGGGCAGGCAGGCAGGGCAGCGCGGGCTGGCTGGGCGCCCCGGAGGGAGTGGCTTTCTGCGTCTGAGCGGGCGGGCTGTGGAGAGGAGCTGCGCGCCTCTGCTTTTTCCTCACATTTTCCTTTCCAGAGCTGACTGGTGTGGGCTGGGGTGGAGGAAGGGTGGGGGACCGCCACAGCCGCTCTCCTCCCCTTGGACCCTCTGACCCCTTTCCAACACCTGCCCCTCCCAATTATACGCAACACCTCCTCCCACACCTCGGGCGGTGCTCACTCACCTTCTCGATGACGGCAACCACTTTGCAGCCCCTCAGCTGCTCTAGGGCAGAGCTCAGTGTGCGGATGGGCCGCAGCCTCAGGCTGCTAAAACCCTGCAGAGGCAGGAGAGAGCCACGTAGCGGCCTCAGGGTGAGTCCTACTCAGCCACAGCCTTCTCAGCAGGCAGTGGGCAGGGCCCCGGCTGCCAGGAGAGCAGTGGCCACAGAGGGCAGGACCGGGGTACAGGCAGGGCCCACCTCACAGGGACAGACTGAGCAGAGAAGCTGGCCTTGGTCCAGGGTGGCCAGGCCACCCTCTCAGCTCGGTCCCCACCTAGCCCTCCTCTCAGACACAGGGAGTTCTCAGGGCTTCAGAAACCCCCTCTCAGAAGCCTCATCCACAGGAGGCAGATACGCCCAGGGAGGGGGGAAGTAACCTGGGAACATGTGCATCTTGGGGAACACGCCTCGAAGACCAAGGCATGTGGCCCAGGCACCTGCTTTGGGGGAAGCAGCTTACAAGGTGCAGCAAGCCTAGAAGGGGTGTGTACGTGCACACCTGTGGGCTTGAGAAGTGTGCGTGCATCTTCAACCCTTTCTGAGTGCCCACTGGGTCAAGAAAAGCCGTATGGGGAGAGGACTTTTGCACATTTATATATGCACATATTCATGTGTGTGTATATGCACGTGGGTATTTGTGTCTGCTCCGAATACTCACTGCAGCCCAGCCAAACACAGAGAGATCTGGGAGCCTGAGTGTGCGCATAGGTGAGCACGTGTACGGGCCATGAGTGAGGGTAGGGAGGTGTGTGTGTGTGTGTGTGTGTGTACTCTGTGGGGGCGTAAGACTGGACTGGAGATGATTCACTAAGCGTTTGCAAATGAATGAATTATGGAGAGTGTGGGATAGAGAGGAAGCCAGGAGGGGGGCAGGAGGGCAGCCCTGGCACACACACCAGCCGAACTGTGCTCTCCACCGTCTGCCTGCCCCCCGGGATGGCGGGCGACAGCTCCTTGGCCTGTGGGGTGAGGGCCTCAGCTCTCTCCCCTCAGAGCCCTCAGGCCTTTGGGGTCTCCTTACCGTGCCAGGGCTGGCTCCACTGCCCAGCGTCCTCTGCAGGTGGCAATTAAAGATCTCCTCCGCCCGCCGCAGGTACTTGGTAATTTTCAGCTTTACAGCCTCACATCTCTCCTTGTTGGGGTCGACTGTGGGGAGGAGAGGTCCTGTCCTTGGGAGGACGCTGGGGTTTGGGCTCCCACTGCCCGCCCCCTGCCCTCCATAGGAGGTAGTGCCTATTTCTGATGCTGCTCAGTGGATTCTGACCCCACCTCTGTCCTTGGGTCCTCCTCTGGATGGGAGACCAGCAGGGGAGGAGGAGGAGGGATGGTGGCAGGAGAGGTTGGGAACCACAGTCGCCACTCAGCCTACAGCACTTTACAGTTGGCACCTACTACCTCGCTGGCCACCATCACACCCTGGGAAGGGACACAGTGTGGATTTCCATGTCCGTTTTTCAGAGTAGGAGACAGAAGCCCCCAGAGAGCACACGTTCTATCTCTGATGCCCAGTGTGAAAGAGGCCAGAATGGGGATCAGGACGGGAGGGTAAAGGAAGTCACTGGACAGGCACGAAGCCCAGGTGTTGAGAGGTCTCATCGGAGGGAGGGTAGGAAGCGTGAATTGGGGCCTGACTCCTACCCCCAGCCTGGCCACCTAGGCCCTCAGGGGTCTCCAAGTGGCCTCAGGGCCAGCCTCTCCCCCTACTTGGAAATGGCTTCCTTTTCCCTGAACAGGCCTCCCCTCTCACCTCCAGGCCTGTGCGGTTCTCCCTCTGGAGCCCCACCCAGCCCTTCAGCTGGACAACATGCCCACCATTCTTTAGTACTCAGATTAGGGTTCTGACTTCTAGAAAATGCCCTATGCCAGCCTAGTCTGGCCTCAGTTTCCCTCTTCCCTCCCTTCAGCTCCTCCTCATTGTTCTTGCCACCTGGGACTGTAATAGTCCATCATCAACTCATCAATCTCCCCCCATTAGAATGCAAGCCTCCCGAGGGCAGGACCCCAGCCCAGCTCCAGGGGCAGGCAAGCCGAGTGAGCTAAGCGCACAGCCTCTGGAGCCCACACTGTTCAAATCCCAGCTTTGCCACTTGACAGCTGTGGAGTCTCAAGCAAGCTAGTTAACTGCCCTGTGCCTCAGTTTCCTCATCTGGAAAACAGGAACAAAAATCATTCTTATCTATTTGGAAGTATATGCAAGAACATATACAGTGGTTTGTATTACTGTGAATGGGAAATGAGCTGATACAAGTAAAGCCCTTAGACCAGCGCCTGGTGTATAGAATCCGTTCGATAAATGAGAACTGTTATTACTGTCCTTTGCAGAGGCCCTGCAGGGCCCACAGAGAGAGCCCTGCTCGCCCAGCTCAGATGGACAGATGGCGGGATAAGCCCTTCACCACCGGCCTCCGTCCCTGCCCAGCCCCAGCCTCACCATTTACGCCTCGGAGCAGAACGTCCACGCCATTCTGGTAGTGGCTGAAGGCTGCCTCATACTCCTCACTGACATCACGCTCCAGGGCCAGCCGGATCTGTGTGGCTGCATCCACAAGGTAGTCGCGCTTGGTCATGTCAGATGCCCCTGGAGTGACCCGATTGCGAATCTGCTCCCGGTACACTAGGGCCTGGGACCGCACTCATGAGCAGGGCTCGGGGTCCAGGCCAGGGCCAGGGGGGCACTCATGGGCCACCAGGCTCATGGCTGCCCTAGAGCAGGGACCTGGAATGAGCAGAGGCATTAGGGGGAATCCTGCTGGGAGTAACACCCCATCTGCACCCTGGTTTCCTCCACTGAGTATTGGGAAGACCAATGCTCACGTCCAAGGGTTGGAGGGATCAGAGCTAATGTGGGTAATATCCCTCACTGAGCCAGATCTGTCCTAAGTGGTGGTAATAACAGAATAATAACATGCTTTGGGCTCTGGGTTTTTTGTTTTCAATTCAAATTCAGTTCATCAAGTATTTCTTGAGCACTTACTATGTGTTGAGCACTGGAGAGAGCTGAGGATATGCCTGCAAAGGGCCTCTATACACATTAAACATGGAGGTCACACACTCTGAGGCTGAAGCCAGGACCCGGGGCCCAAAGGCCATTCCTTATACTGTTCCCTCCATCCTGCCTGTTCTCCCCTCCCTGGGCATCCCATGGGAATCTCATTTATCCTTCAAGGTTCGGCTCCATGGCACCTCCTCGAACAGAATGGATTGCCCCTGCTTTATTTCATTTCCCTAGGTCCTGAGGTCAGTGTGGCCAGGGAGTGAGGACCCCCAAGAAGCCAGGCAGAGAGCCGGGCACAGGGCTTGGCCTTAAAGTCTGCGGGCAAATGAGCTGACTGAGTGGCAGATTCAGTGCCACTCTGGGTGGAGTTAGAGGAATGAGGTCAGAGCCCAACCAGCCCTAGGGAGGGGATGCCTCTGGCCTCCTGGCTCTGTCTCTGAGAAGGTCAGGAGGCCACGTGGCCTCCAAGGACCGTACAGCAGCTCCTCCCTGAGCAGTGTGCGATACAAGTGGCCAAAGGGATAAGTGCAGTGTCTTCAGGAAAGGAAAGGGCTCAGAGAGAGGCCAGCAGAGCTGCCTTTGCCCCTCACTGCAGCCTCTGCACCTTCGCTCCCTCAGGCCCCACTGGGAAGGGGCAGGGCCCAAATTGCCAACTTCAGGTCATTTCTGCCTCTGTGGAGAGAGGGAGGAGAGAACAGGATGGGGAGTGGGGCGGGGAGGAAAACCCACATTGTGAAGCCGGCGGGAGCTGAACCCTGGCCAGGATGCGGCCAGGAGGTGGAGGGAGGGGGGAAGGGAAGCCGCACCCTCCCCACTCGGCCTAGTCACCAGGGACATGCCGCGCTGAGTCCTGTGCTCAGAGGCACCAAGGCCGACAGGGCGGGCTGCTCTGTGTCAGGGCCCGGTTTCCGGGACCACCCGCCGGGCCGGGTCCTTCCGGGCAGAACCGCATAGCCGCGCCTGAACCCAGAAAGCGTCGCGTCCAACCCGCGAGTCCCCGGTACGCAAGGTGCACCGCCCCTCGGGGGTCGTCGAGGAAGGCGGGCTGGGGGAGTGAGAAGAGGGGGCATCCTCTCCTGGGGGAGGGGGATGGAGGAGGAGCCGGGCAAACACCGTACCTGCCCGAGCCAGGAGCTCGGTCCGCGTGGCCAGACCCAGCCCTGCCGCCACTGCCCCTTCGCCCCCGCGGGGGACCTTGCACCGTGGGCGGCTGCTTTCAGCCCTCCACCCAGGTTCAGGAGTCTGGCCGGATGCAGCTCGGTCATTGGTTGCAGATGAGCTCATCCTCTATCCGTTAGAATAAACCACCAATCAGCGCCCGGCTCCACTTCTGCGGGGCCCTTAAAGCAGAAGCGCCCGCAAAGATGGAGCGCTGGGGGAGGGGGAGGGGGAGGGGGGCGGGGAAGGGATTGGGGTGGGGGTAAAAGCTGCGAAGAGAGGAGGTCCAGAATCTCACAGGGATGCGGAAGGAGTTGCTTCAGAAATCTAGGCCGACTAAAAGCACACATGCAGCTTCCAGGACTTTTCTCATCCATTACTTCATTCATTTATTCAACTATTTAAATATTATGTATTGAGAGACTACTGTGTGGGAGGAGCTAGATGCCAAGATACCGCGACGGAGGGGACAGTCTCTGCTCATGTCTTCATGGGGTTTACAGTCTAGGGAGGGTTACAGGGATTAAAGAACTAAAGAATACAGTTGATATTTCATTCCAGTTGTGATCAGAGTTGTGAGAGAGAAGCACCACAGGGGCCATGAGGCAGCAAGGGGAGTGACCTAGTCTGGGGGTGAGAAGACTTTCGGGAGGGGGTGATATCTGAACTGGGCACACAGACCTCACCTGCACCCTAATGCTGCCTGGACTCACACTATTCTTCCCTAGTGCAATTGCTCTCTTCTAGATACCTTTTCACTCCATTCCCTTCTAATTCCCAACACCTCCTCCCCCTCACTCAGCCAAAGACCATGCTTCTTCCATCCCTTGAAAATTTAGGAACACAGACTCCTACCCTGCCTGCTATCTGCCTTCTGGCCAGGTCTGCACCCACATACCGTCTCCCCATCTCTTTCGATAGATGGCCTGTCCGAGCCCCATCAAAGGCCAACCTTCCCCTTGGGATCAATCTTGTCCCGTCACCTCCTCAAGGAACCCCGTCCGGCAATTCTCCCCTTTCTCTCCTACATCATTAATTTTTGGCTCCCACTGCATCGTTCATTCCTGTCTGAAACAAACATCATGCTGATTCTCCCATCTTGAAAACAAAACAAAAAACACTCTTGGCCTCACTTCTCTCCTATCTACCACCCCAGGTTTGCAGCAAAACTCCTCAAAAGAGATGTCTCTACTGTCTCCAGTTTCTCTTCTCCCACTCTTTCTTGAACCCACTCTTTCTTGAACCCACTCTGATGAGGCTTTCTTCCCTGACATCGCTCTGAAATAGCTCTTGGTCAACCAGGAGCTCCATGACCTCCTGGGTGCTAAACCCAATGGTCATTTCTCAGTCCTCATCTTACTTGACCTCTTAGGAGCATCTGACCCAGGTGATCACAGCCTTCTGTCCATGCAGTTTCTCCCCAGGCTTCCAGGACCCATACTCTCTATTGCCTCCCTCTCACCAGCAGCCCCTTCTCTGTCCCCTGTGATGGCTTCTTCTCTTCCAGATGTTCGAGTGTGCCAGTTTTGGGCATCTTCCTTCTCTCTGTCCTTACTCACTTGATGAGGGATTGCACCTAGTCTCATGATTTTAAGTAGTATTCTTCCATATATTGATGATTCTGTATATCTATTTACAGATACCTTATATTTTCTGTATCCCTTAGCCCTCACCTCTCTACCAGACTTAAATATTTAATAGGCTAATAAAACACCTCAAATTCAAAGAGTCCAGAACCTTGGAAAAATTATGCTGAATGAAAGAAGTCAGACACAAAAGGCTACTTACTGTAAGATTCCATCTATATATAATTTCCAAAATAGGCAAATTCATAGAGACAGAAAGTAGATGTCTAGGAAGGGGGGATGGAGAGTGGATTATAGGTATGGGTTCCTTTTGGGGGGGTCAACAAATGTTCTGGAATTGGATAGTGTGATGGTTGCACAACTCATGAATATTCTAAGAACCATCAAAGTCACATTTTAAAGAGGTGAATTTTATGATATGTGAATTTTATCTCAATAAAAAAATTATCATAATGAAAAAGAAAAAAAAACTGAACTCTTGATCCTCCCCCACCTGAAACCTTCTCCACCTAAAGCCTTTTCCACTCTTCCAGCTCCATCCTTCCCATTGCTCAGGCCAAAATTTTGGAGCCATCCTGGCTTCTCTTATTTTCTCATACTCCACATCTAATCCATTAGAATATCATCATGGTTTTTCCTTCAGAATGTATCCAGAATCTCAGCACTTCTCACCACCTCCACTGCTATGACTCTCATAGGAGCATCTTCATCTCACACCTGAGTTATCGTAGGCGATTCCTCCTGTCTTCCTGTTTCTACCCTTGCCACCCTAAAGGTGGTTCTCACCACTGCATCAGGGGGATCCTTTCAAAGCGCAGTCAGTTTCTGTCCTGTTCAAAAGTCTGCAAGGGCTCCCATCTTAGTCCAAGAAAAACTCAAAGGCCCTGCTATGACCTCTAAGGCCCTCACGGTCACCCTCCTCCACTATTTCTCCAGCTTCATCCCTTACCAGGCTCACTCACTCAGCTTCAGTCCCGGAACTTCCTCACTGCTTCTACAACCCACATGGCAATTCCCACCCCAGGGCCTTTGCCCCACTGCTGCCCTCTGCCTGGAACAGTCTGCTTTTGGATACCTACCTAGTAAACTCTGCCCCTGCTTTGAGTTGTTGCCCTGATGTCATGAGAGACCTGCTCTGGCTACACCCTCCCAACATCTCCATTTCTCCCTTGCCCTGCTCTGCTTCTTCTCTGTTGTACTCAAGACTATTGGCATGCTATCTAACTTATTTATTTTATACGTTTCTTTTCTTTCCTCCCCCCACTGTAAGATCCACATGGGCAAGACCTTTATCTGCTTTGTATCCCAGACGTATCACAGATGTATCCCAAGGGCCTAGAACAACATCTGGCAGATAGCATTGCTCAATCAATATTGGCTGGATGAGTGAATGAGCTCTAAAGAATGAGAATTAACCAGGAAAACTGTTTGAAGAGGACAGTGGAGGAGAATGTTCTGGGTAAAGAAACAGCATATATAAATGCCTTAACAAATTAAGGGAGAAAAATAACATTTACACATCAAACAGATGACATAAAAACAGTTGATAAAATTTAACACTCATTCATGATAAGGACAAACTCTTTACTTAACAAGTTCTAAACAAACTCGTGCACTTACTTCTAAACTTGATAAAGGGTTATCTACCAGAAACTTAGAGCAAACACCATGTGTAACGGTGGAGCATGAGAAGCATTCCCACAGTCCAGCTGTTCTTCTGGCATATGGAAAGATCACACTTCCCTACCTCTATGGAAGTTAGGCTTGGCCATGCGGCTTGCTTTGAAATGTCAGTGGACAGAACAGCATCCTGTCAAGTACTACAGAGTCTTTTTAGTATTTTGGAAGCTTCAAAAGCCAGTACATAATTCCTCCTGCCATAGTGATTGTGGAAGCACACGTCCATGTGCTTAGCCTCCATCAGCCTGAGTCTCTGAGAAATAACAATAAGGAACCCCTCCCTGACCCATGACTTGTGTTGAATATGAGGTGTAAATGAGAAATAAATTTTGATTGTGTTGAGCCACTAGATTTTGGGACCGTTTGTTACTGCAGCAAACCTTGACCTATCTTGAATGATACCCCAGTGCAGTCAGAAATGAGCCAAGACCTCTACTCGTTGACAATATACTGGAAGTTACAACTAACACGATAAGAAATTAAAAACAAAGAAGAGAATAAAGAAAAAAAAAAAAAAGAAGAAAAAAAAAAAAAAAAAAGAAGAGAATAAAGACGCAGATGAAGAGAACTGACTTGGGGACACGGGGTGAGGGGGGAAGGGGAAGCTGGGAGGTAGTGAGAGAGTAGCACTGACATATGTACACTACCAAATGTAAAATGGATGGCTAGTGGGAAGCAGCTGCATAGCACAGGGAGATCAGCTCGGTGCTTTGCGACCACCTAGAGGGGTGGGATAGGGAGGCTCAAGAGGGAGGGGATATGGGGATATATGTATACATATAGCTGATTCACTTTGTTGTACAGCAGAAACTAACACAACATTGTAAAGCAATTATACTCCAATAAAGATGTAAACAAACAAACAAGCCAAAACAAAAAAAAGAAGAGGTTTAAAGATTGGAAAGGAAGAGACCAAATTGCCATTATTTGTGATAATGTGATTACTCACCTAGAAAACCCAGAGCAACAATTAGTGAGTTAGAACGGTTCAATATTTACAAATCAAGAGAACTTTTCTATATATCAACAATAACAATTTGAAAATGTAATAATAACTTTAAAATCCCATTCATCACAGTAACAAAAACTATGAAATGCTTATGAATAAACTAATCAGAAGTATATAAGACCTTCATGGAGGAAATAATAAAATTGAAAGCCACAAAAAACGGAGAGACGTGCTGTGTTCAATAATGGAATGACTATCGTCGTAAAGATGTTGATTCTCTCCAAAATAATTTAAAACTTCAATGCAATCTCAATCAAAATACTAAAAAGACTCTGTAGTACTTGACAGGATGCTTCTAAAATCCATATGTTTATTCATTCCCTTAACAAAAACTTATGGAGGGTCTACTATGGGCCTAACCCTGTTCTAGATAGTAAGGAGATGGTGGTAAATAAAACAAAACAAAAACGCCTTCCTGGAGCTCTTTTTCTAATGGAGAAAAACAGTAGTAAAGACACAGACATACAGATACATAATATCTCATGATGATTTTACACAGTATATGAAAATGTGCAACAATAGCCCAGCCCCTTGGAAAAAAACAAATGGTGGGGGTCAGCATCTTGCCTTACCAGATCTAAAGAATTATTATAAAGCTGCAATTTTTAAAAGAGGTGACGTTGGTACACATACATAGATAAGAATAGACTAGAGTCCAAAAAAAAAAAAATTCATGTATCTAGGGGATTTGACTTAGGATAAAGAAGGCATTTCGAACCAGTGGGCTAAGGATGAATTCTTCATGAGAGGTGTCGGGACAATTGACTTAAGGAAAAAAAATTGATCTCTTCCTCATACCTTATA